AGTAGCAGTAGCAGTAGCAGTAGCAGTAGCAGTAGCAGTAGCAGTAGCAGTAGCAGTAGCAGTAGCAGTAGCAGAGTAGTAGTAGTAGTAGTAGTAGCAGTAGCAGTAGCAGTAGCAGTAGCAGAGTAGTAGTAGGAGTAGTCGTAGTAGTAGTAGTAGTAGAAGTAGAAGTAATAGAAGAAGAAGTAGTAGTAGTAGTAGTAGTAGCAGGAGTAGGAGTGGGAGTAGGAGTAGGAGTAATAGTAATAGTAATAGTATTCGTAATAGTAAGGGTAAAAGTAACAGTAATAGTAATAGTAAAAGTAAAATTCACAGCAATAGCAAGAGCAAGAGCAATAGTAGCAGCGAAAGCAGAAGCAACATGAATAGAAATAGTAGGAAATAATAAGAGTAAGAATACCAGTAATAAAAGTTGTAGTAGTACTAGGATTAGTCTTAGCCTTAGTCTGAGTCTTAGTATGACTCTTAGTCTTAGTATTGATCTTGGTATTAGTGCTAGCAATAGTATCAGTATCAGTACCAGTAATAGCAATACTAAGAACAGTAGCAGCGGAAATAGTAGTACTGTGAAGCAAGGCTAGGCCCGACCGGATGGGTGATGGCATGGAGCTCAGTCAGCCTCATGCCGCTTCGTGAACTCCGAGATTTTGCACCCCCTTGGTATCCGTATGTTGCCCATGCCCGGAACTTTCGGCTCAAAGACGCATCGATCCGATACTGAACTTTTTTGCTCAGATGGTTGCACTGAGCGAGCCCAGATCCAATGTTAGCTCTGGCGCTCTGGTCTGCGCTGCTGGTCTCCGCGCGGGCCGAGGCCCGGACCGGAGTGAAGCCGAGTTCGGCGACTGCATGCACTTTGCAAAGCTGGAGAAGGCTGAGTGCTCATGGTGGAGCTGGTGTAGCAAGCCAAGCGCTCAAAGAGCCTTCGAGGACGGGAGGAGCACCAGAAGTCGATACTCCCCGCGTCCTCTGCATTGCAGTCAAAGCCCCTGCATGAGGCGGAGTCCTTCTCTGGTGGAGTTTCCTTACTTCAGGTTGGACCAGCCGAGGTGGTCCGAGCTCAGCTGCTCGAAGTCAAGCGTATCGCGCATGGCACACTAAGACTGCCAGGGCTTTTCACGGTAGTGTCCCAGCTCGCTTTGTCATCTACAAAGAAACCAAGTCGTCATGAGCGCATTAGGTTCTCAGCAAAGGGCCATGGACATTTCATGATGTTTCCTGTCCTAGGAGGTCAACAGATGCAGTGCATTCACGACGTCCGAGTAGCCCTTCAAAGGCTTGGCGGAGCAGTCCCGTTGGCTTTCATGCGACACTTATTTCCTCTGCCTTGTCAGAAAGGATGCGGCTAGCAGCAATGCGCTCGTGCAGTTCTACCGGGACTTGGTGGAAGAACAAGAAGTAACTCCAGGTGAAGTCTCAGGCGCATGACACGAGTGGATGAGGGCATAACATGTTTGAATACCGGGGTAGCAAAACGAGTGCGTTGCAATGCAACCCGTAGGCGTGATCATGCTGCTTGGGATCGTCATTGCTTGCCTATGCTGGGCTCCTCCGATTTCGTCGCCTGCGATGAACAAGGACCGATGGAGCCTTTGCACTGCTTGAGTACTGCTTGGCTATGTTTTTTAAGAAGCTTTTCAATGAGAGGAAGCAGTACCCGACATCCTGCCACCAGTCACGGACAAGGACCGCCAGCCCACGGCCCGGGAATGCAGAAACGACATGACAGCTCTGCGAGGCTCCAAAGCGACCATCCAATCCGAGCCAAGGAGAGCCTACCTGCTGTTGCCGCTTGGATGCAGCTCCCGGAACACAAAAGCGCAAAAACCTTTCTTCGTGACTTCTAAAATCTAACGACCGAATACCCTTAACTCTAAAGCCATGCGGGTGTAAGCCTGCATGAGGCGGAATCTCAAGCTGGATGTCAAGGCGTGCACAAGCCCGAGAGAAGCCACAGGACTTGGTCTCATTTCACACGGTCTGGTGCTGCAGTCCCCGAATCGCTGTAGCGGGTATGTCGTGTGTTTGAGGAACCAGTTACTGCACTGCTTGCCCCGTTGCCTGACGCAAGCAGACAGACGAGTCGACTTTCTTTCCAACTGTCTCCAGCTACATGTCAATCCAGTTCCGCCAAGTTTGCTAGACGAGGGTGATTGCAGCTGAGGTGATGAGCCACCTCGGAGATTTTCGCCTGTTTCGGTGGATCTTGGTGTGTCATCCAGAAAGAGGTCGACAGATTGATCCAGTAAAGCCGCTTTGTCTGAAAGAGACCAGTCCATGAGCCAGTCGCCTTCGGGCCTTCGGCGAAGCAGACTGTAGCCTTGCACCATAAGGTGGTCAATGGAGGATGTGTCGTCCGAACCCTTTTCTACCTGTGTCTGCTTGTGCCCATCGCAGTAGACTTCTCTGTTTCACGAAGGAGCGTAGGGCGAAGAATCATAAAAAGCGACTGCATCATGGCAGCTAGAAATGCTACATGTGCCGATTCATGTCGACATGCTGACACCATGTGCTTAGTTGTGCTGCTTGCTGATACCAAGGATGTCATTCCACGAGCTGAGAAGGACGTGCAAGTGCTGGGGTATGGGAGCCCACCTCAGACATCAGTCCTGATACCCTTGCATATGGTTGACGATTCCGAATTGTGTCGCTGCTGAAGCTCACATGGCCAGCCAGGAAAGACAAAGGCCACGGTCCGGGGTGGCAGCGAGATTGTCTTGGTCAAGTGGTTGCAAGCTCAGGGCAAAGCCAGTGCACCGTGCAGGGCTCTGAAGAGATCCCTAATCACTTTAATGGTAACAGTTGTAATACTAGATAGAATAGTCACACTAGCAACAAGCATTTTACTAGCAACAATAGTAGCAATAACAAGAGTAATCAGAACGTAAGAACAGTATCAATAGTCATGGTAGTAACAGTAGTGAGAATAGAAACCTCAGTGATCATCGGAATAGGTCTAATGTTGGTAATCACAGCAATAGTAGTAAAAGCAAGAATAGCAATGTAATAAGAGTAGTAAGAGTAGCAACAGTAAAATGTTAATAATAGTAACAGTAGTAACATTAGCAAAGATCGTAATCGCGGCAAGAGTAACTAGTAGCAATCGTAATGACAGCAATGGTGGTATCAATAGTAGTATCAATAGTATTATTCGTAACAGTAGTCATAAAGATCAAACAGCCATACTAGTAACAATAGCAATATCAGTAACACAATAACAATAGTAGTTGTCGTAACAGTCGTCAGAATGGCAAAATCATACTGCTAGTAACAACAAATTCCTCGAGTGATCGCCAAGGCCTTGACGCTTGACCTCCTGTCTTGGCACGGTGGGGCCTCTCTGTGTTGCATCTTGCTACACATCTTACACGTAGTGGGCTTCAGGCTTGGCATCCAAAGCAGCGCCCATCAAGCGCCACTTTGAAGAGAACGTGCTGATTTTCGTGGTGCAGGTCGTCCGGGTTACGCAATAGATGCTTCCAGTTGGCTTATGCCCTCGCTCACTGGTGAAAGGCGGTCATTGCCGAGACGGACAAGTCTGTCCTGCAACGAGCCGGAACAACTCATACAAGGCAGCAAGAAACAGTCTCGGAAGTGAAGCCGGGCTGCGTCAACATCTCCAGGATGGCCGAGCCGATACTGAAGGGGAAACAACTCCAGAGTGTCGAGACACCCGGCCTTCTTTACCTAAACTAAATATGTGAGAATCCAGGACGCATCGAAGCGGTCATGTCAAAACCCCAAGGTCATGCTGAGCGAAGACCTGACCAAAACAGCTTTGCTGCAGCTGCGCCTTCCTTATCCTCGCTTTGGGTAATGGCAGAGCATTTGTAAGTGAGCTTTGCTTGAGGTCGTGCGTTGATGTGGCCTTTTTTCCAGCTGTCACTATTGCATCGTGTTGCAAAGGCAACTGGCGCAGCCAAGACAGCTGTGGATGTCCACTGCGCAGCTGATGGTGCGGCGGCAGCTCCCTGCCGATGCGGAGGAAGGTCAGATAATCCTTCTGGACCTTGCCTACTATGGATGCTGAGTGCATGCTTGTTAAAAGGTTATGCGGGCACAGAGCCAGGTCCTGTCCTTCTCGATGATCCTTCCTTGCATTTGCAAGCGCGCTACATCGCCTACAGGCGACCCAGGGGCGGAGGGAACGCTCCAAAACACCGTGGCAAACCCACCCCAAGCCCTAAACATGGACTCGGAAGCCTATAAACCCTATCTAAACCCCGTAAGGCCGACTGCACCCTGAACCTAAACACCATTCAACCCTGCGTGACACCCCGGCATGCCTTCCGAGGTCAGAAGACGCCGAAGCTTCGAGCCGAGGCCCAGAAAGAGAGCCTATAAAATATGTATATGCATACTATGTATATATATATGTTAATATATATATATATATGTATGTATGTATGTATGTATGTATGGTTAGAAATTATATGTGTATATACATGCGCTGCGTAGTATCTCATTCATTTCTGCACGCTGTACTCTTGTGGAACCAGGAAGTTTTTGAAAATCCTCGCAGTTTGTAGAACCAAGCAAAGTTTATCAACCCTCAATTCTGGACAGACGCCTTTAGGCCACCGTACGCCACTGTGAATGGACAAGCCTTTGTGTCCAAATCAAGCCCAACATCAATACTCAGTATTTCAGTTCTATGGAAGATGTTGTGGGTGTTTCACACACTGCTCGTTCCAATAGGTATCATCCCCCTACGAAGCCGTGATTTCTTTGCGTCCACGACCATCCCTGCAAACCTAGTCTGGGGACACCTGCAAACCAATCCGGGAAGTTTCGATGCTCAATCTCGGCAAAGTATACTGTGCAACCGAAATGCTAAAGGAGCAGTCCCGTGTTTCAAATCCAATCCTGATTACTTGCACGTATCATGTTGATAATCCGTACGTACAGAATGCTGACAGGCCGAATCCCGTACAACGTTATGAATTCTACAACGGTCCCATGGGAAACCTGCTGAACTGTGCTAAATCCCTGCTTTGGAGCCGTCGCTACTTTTTGGTACATCCATCTCTGCGCGAATACTGTGAAAATCCTTGTCTATCCAATTTACAAGCAAATGTGCCTTCAGTCTTTTTCATCCATGTCCTGGGGCGAAGAAGCTTTTTAGAACTACCAGTTTTCCACATATTTACTGTAATGCCGCAATCCCGTTAGAGTTTCTGTCTTTCTAAGCATTGCTACGGAGCTTTGGCCACATACAGCTCTCCATAACATAGCCCTATGCCCTTATGCGATTGCTTTTAAACGCTCGTATATCCAATTCCTTTTTAATGACTGTGCCACACAAGACATTCATATCACACTTTTAGCTAACGTTGTATATTTTTTCTCCGTGGGGATAATAAAGCCGGTCGCTTCCTAGGACAAGGTAGTCTCCATGCTTTTGACCATGGTTCTATATATATATATATATGGTTCTCTCTCTCTCTCTCTATATATATATATATATAGACCGAGTGATGAAACCCTTGCGTCTTGTATCAGCATATATCAGCATGCCGAAACCATCTCATGGAGCCGTCTGCGAACCATGAGACTTCATCTGGCTTGTCTTAATTGTGAGAGAGTAACCAGTCTGTAAGATTCAACATGCTGCCTGTCCTTGCCGTAAGTTAAGATCAGCCTTATCTCGTGCATGTTCTGT